GCATTCAAGATGAAGGAAGCTTGGCGAGGCCAAATTCATTTTGGGAATGGAGATTGACCACGATAGAGAATGTGGAACGTTGATGATCAAGCAAACTCGGTACATTGACGACATTGTGGAACGATTCAATCAACGGAACGCCAAGATGGTGGAGAACCCTTGTGCAGCAAACCTGAAGTTGTCCAAGATGATGTCGCCGACTACGGAAAAGGAACGTGCCGAAATGCGGTCACGACCGTATCGTTCCTTAATCGGGTGCCTCATGTACATCACAACCTGTACTCGGCCGGACATTGCCTACGTTGTCACGCAGCTGGCACGCTTCCTATAGGATCCTGGAACGCAACACTGGAAGGCAGCGATTCGTGTTCTGCAGTATTTGAAGTCCACTCGCCATCATGGTATCGTTTACAAAAGTGGAACGAGTGGATTTGGAACGCAAGCTGTCAAGGCAGAAGCGTTTACGGACGCAGACTGGGGAAGCAACATTGACGACAGACGTTCAGTGTCTGGCGTCATGATCATGATTGGGAACGCTCCGGTGGTGTTTAAGTCCAAGTACCAGAGGACGGTTGCACTTAGCTCAGCGGAAGCAGAGTACATGGCACTAAGCCTTTGTACTCAAGAGGTACTATGGACACGTGCCATGCTGAAGGACATGGGTCACGAGCAAGTGGGAGCGACGCAGGTCTGGGAAGACAATCAAGGTGCTATGGCACTTGCAAGCAACGCTGGATATCACGCGAGGACCAAGCACGTGGATATCCGTCACCACTTTATTCGAGAGAATGTGATACGTTCCACAATCAAGGTGGCCTACATCGACACGAAGCAGCAGTTAGCTGACATGCTTACGAAAGCACTGGGAACGAAGTCGCTAGCGTTCCTTCGCGAAGCAAGTGGAACCAAGAAGAGGAACGACGTGCAGTAGCGGTGAGTGGGAGTGTTGATATGCACCGACTCTGCACGGTTCGGCTAACCGGCGTGACGTTTCAAAATGGACCGGTCCCAAATCGGTTAATCTGGTGGATGGCCAGGAGCACTGAAAGTTTAGAGGACAGATTTAATTGACTTTTAATCAACTCACTTTCGGCATTTGCCTTTAACAACAACAACAGAAAGTATAAAATACCATATTCTTGAGGAAAAGCTTGTGTGATGGAGCTTATAAAAAGGCTGCTTGTATTGAAATTGGTAAGAGAATAAATGAGGATCAAGTATCCAGATGCTCACATCAAGTCAATATATCATCAGTACCATCCACATAAATGTGGCCATTGCACACTAATTGAGCAAAATGGCAGCTGTACTTCATACAAAATTAACTTTTTAGTAGGTCCGTTATGGTATTTTACACCTGGTATTGGTCCGCGAAACGTTAAATAAAGTTATAGAAATGTCAGTGTGCCCGTGCAAGCCTAAGGTCTGAGCATTAACATCCTATTCCTATTTCAACGGGTGGTACATCCTTTTTTTTCTACAGCTACAGCTATAAACTGCGCCACTGTATCCGGGATCGTACGCTAACGTGTCGCTACTATCGCTAAAAACCGATTTACAAGGTGTTCGGTGGTTCTGAACAGCAGCTAATAGGTAACCTGTTCGAGCTCGCATCCCTCACCGTTCAGGTTTTATACGTAAAGTTTCAAATTTTCCATCTAAACAAAACGCCTTAATAACTCCTATTTCGTAAAACTACAGCATTCGGACAGCAACAATACCACGAAATTTACATTTACTACGAGTACAAATTAATCACTGTCTTAATCTGTGAAATTCTAGGCCTCCTGCAATTCTTTTGCTCACAATTCGAAACTATTTCCCTTCTAAAAACAAATATTAATTTTAGGCGTCTTAGCTATTTGTTTTGGTCAGCGCTATAGCAAAAAAAACGTTTTTGCCTTGATAGATCTTAGCCTTGGTATAGCTGACAGCTTATGCTTAAGAAAGAGAAGTATTAGCTTTGAGATGGAACAGCGTAGTTTGAATATATTTAAAGCCCATAACGGATCTAGTAAACTAGATACGTTAACATACCGCGATAGGACAAAGACAGCAGCAGCCAATAAATGAGCCAGTTTTGCCGGACTCTTTTAATTTTAAATAAAAATGAAACGTCAGCGACAAACCCGCCCCTACACATCAGGAAGCGTTTCTCAGTGCACCATCTCTCGGGCCATACGCGAGCACCTCGCCCGTGCGGTGCACACGATTGACTCGAGACTTGAGTTAAGTGCATCGTTGGCACTGACCAAGAACGACGACTGTCACTTTTCGTTTTCTTTCCAAGACCACAAGGTTTTTCTTTCAAGCGGAATCGCTCTACAGTCTTGCGCAGTATTTTCTACGGTGTTCTTGTCTTTGCCGTTTTAGCTCGAAGCAGCGCCGTCGCATCATTTCCTAATCTCGACGAGTCTCAGCTCTCATCTTCTGCCGTTGTGGCCAAAAGATCTCTTCGGGTCGCAGGCCAAGAAGTCGTCCAGGGCGGTGGAAATGGAAACGGTGAAATTTGGAAAGTAATTGTTCAGGGTACCAACAAAAATAATCAAGAGGCCGGCAGAAGTCAGCGTAGTCAAGCTCATTGAGGCGGCCAAGAAGGCGAACAGTAAGAAAAAGTAAGAAACCCCTCATCGCGCTAAAGAAGCCCCAGTGAAGCAACTTGATTGCACTATTTGCTTTCTTACCAGTTCCTGCGACTCGAAGAAATCTCTTCCGGGAAACAGTATAGGTCATATCGTTGGCTGCGAAGTTGGGAGAGACCTTCGACAAGAGCTGAGATTCATCGGCATTCGTGGATGCTGCGACGACACTGCAGCGAGCTAAGACAGCGACGACAAGAACAATGTAGAATGCACTGCGCATGATTCTGACGGGGCTAGGAGGGGACTTGTGGTCTTGAGGGGAAAAAGTCAAGTGACTGCCGGCGATGTTTCGTTTGGCCACTGGTCTGGTGGTTAACCCAACGGTTCCTCATGATGAAGTCACGATGGGGACGTACGGTTACAATAACCGTCGGGTACAGTTCTCACGAAAGCACTGGGTAAGCCATAAGCAAACAGCTTACTTCAACTCTTTAACCCTTGAAAGTGGACACGAGTACAAATCTGAATGTACAGTGTCTTGGTGCATAAAGTTCGTAATGGTAGCTGGATTTGTTTTACTGAAATCCCAGACGCTTTTCTACTGGATTATGGTAATTCCTCTCAGAATCATTGCCAATTCCGAAGCGACATTTAGTCCAATTGCGTGAGTTATACGTTTACCGTATGCAATTACGGGCTCACACAATCAAGGAGTGCTCTACCATGGTACGTATGATTTGTCAGAGGATGACACAGGCATATCGCTGCATGGCATTTAATCTGTACTATTCGGGCAGCGGCTGCATGAATAGTACAGATTCTGATGCGAATTCTATTGACATGTCAAGCTAGTGGAGTATGCGTCGCGCAGAAAGTTATATGAGGTCGATCGCTTATAAAAATTGCAATACTTTACTGGCTCCAGGTCAATGACGTTATGGGAGTAACTTTGGATTGCGTGAGAGGTGTATTTCCCTGCTTAACCTGCCAGTTCGCAATGTTCATTCTCAAATTTACCTCGGGCAACAAATAACTAGTGTAAAACGGCGATGACTCGCTTGTACCTGTTAATCCTCGCCGCTTTAGCAATCTTCGCGGACCCCAGTGCCGCGTTTGGTGTGGCTAAGATGGGTGTCATCAAGTCAACCAGCGACCATTTGAAAGCGGGTTCTGATTCTACTACCTTGGTGAAGACTTCTGTTAACGCGCCAGGTTCACAAGTCGACGATGAAAGAACACTCTCAGCTTATCTCTCGACGCTAGACGACGCGATAAAGAGAAGTAAGGCTGTCGACAGCGTGTTCAAAGTGCTGAGCCTTAACAGAGCATCGGATGACCTTCTAACCAACGCAAATTGGGTCTCTTGGGAAAAATACGTGAAGGAATTGTTTCCCAAAAACTTTAAAGATGAAGTATTGGTGAAGACGTTGAGGGAGCACTACGACGACCAGCATATTTTACAGATGCTTGCCAAAGCGACGGAAAATCCACGAACGAAGGAAATTGCTACCGCGTTGGAGAAGCAGTTCATTAACATTCCACTAGTGATGCTAACGAGCTGGAAGTGTCGTAACCTTGGCCCGGGTCACGTCTTCAAAGTCTTCCCCGTCAAAGATTCTTCTCAGTTGAATGACTTAGTTCGAGACAAGAAATGGGGGTTTTGGATCAAGTACGTGGACGGTATCACTCCGGACGCAGACAAGGTATCTCGTATCCTGAATCCTCTGATAAATCGTTTCACAACGGAAGGGGTGGTGAAAACAATTGCTTCCGATTCTGTAGTGGATACGAAATACTTGGCAGAACTACTCCTTGCAAAATGGCTGGGAGATTCGAAAACGAAGTCGAAAACGGTGGACAAAGTTAGGGGGATGCTCAAAGCGGTGTTCCCCGACAAACTTCCGGAAAAAGCTGAGGATCTCGTGGCAAGATACACTGCCAAAGCGGTAAAGGAAAGTAGAGATGTCGACGATCTCTTCAGAGTGCTGGGACTGAACTCTAAATTGGACGACCTGCTTACACATCCTTCTTTGGTCGCCTGGATGAAACGAATGGATGATGTGTATTCAACAACAGACCAACGCTCAATCGCAATGGCGGAGACGTTAATGCGTTACTATGACGACCGGCATCTTTTAGACATGCTCGCAAAGGCAAAGAAATCTCCAAGTACGAAGGAGATTGCTACCGAGTGGGAATTCAAGGTGAAACAAGCGATTGTCGAGCAGTTATCGAGCTGGAGAGCTCAACACTTGGTGTAGTAAATCCTAGGTATTTCACCTTGGTTTCCCTCATAGTTCAACGGAGACGACCCAAGGGCGCCTGGCAGCTTTGCCATCTTCAGGCGATGGGTCTGCGTGTCTTCCCAGTCGGGCTAGTAAGGTCCGACCCAGGTTTTATATTAGGAACCAGGCCAACTACATATCATCTTTCTTATAACTTTCCCAGCGAACTTTCTGAGGGACGCCTTAGAAAGAAGCTGATAATTGAGCTCGATCTGGTTACCATCAGACTCGAGACTCATTCTACGATTTACCCGATACAATACACTTGGCTATAAGTTCCAGCGGGGTGGCTCCCGCTTTGTCGAGTGTTGATTGGTTTTTCGCCCGGGATTTACTACAAAGAATTCTTTAGTGGAAAAAGTGTTTTCTTTGGTACAAGACCAGCTGCCTGTACCAAGAGAAAAGAGCAAGTACAAGACCCTGTTTCTGCCGTCGTGACTGTGGTTTTCTTTTGGCGCGACCGAAGCGAGCCGCTTAGGGCCCAAGGGTTAATCGTGGTTATTTCGGCGTGAGGGGACTGAACCTCAACAAGTACCAGCCAGGATGCAAGGAGCTGGTGCACCGGTATTTACACCGATCGTAGCACCGGAAATTACAAGTATCTCTCATGAAGCTCTGACTGATTGGACGAACAAGCGTCGTCACTACGAGAGCAAGTTGAGAGCTCGATGCCGCGCTACTGGAGAAAATTATGACAACATAGTCCAGTCCGTTCGCGACTCAATGGATCCTGATTTACTGGATGTACTTTGCGAGCTGAGATTGAACGAGGACGTTGCTAACGTGAATGACGACATGCTGATTGCTGAGCTCGCTCTCATCCTTTCAAGCGTGAAGAATGACACGCTCCCTGACGTCAAGGCATTATTCAGATCCAAACTGAGGATGAACCTGACGAAGAGTGATGTCGACGCCCGTGTGCTGGACTACTTTAACCAGTTCCGGAGGTTAGTGCGCGAGAATGGTCTGGGCGCCTGCTTTGAAGGTGACAGGGGTAACGAGGCAAAGTGCAAGCAACTCGTGGCCTCTCTTCACTTAGCGGCTCTCAAGGAAGCAGTGGAGCAGTGTTTGCAGTATACGCACAAGCAGGCCGCCTCGATTCCAAGACTGTTGTTTGACCTCGTCGTTGAGAAGGCGAAGGAACATGAGCGCCAGTTTCTAAGACAAAGGAATAAGAAACGAGATCGCGATGAAGATCTGCAGAAGAAGAAGAACCCCGAAGGAAAGAAGAAAATCAGGACCGGTGAGAATACGGAGGACTCTTCAAGGAAGGTGGCCAAGACCAATAGCATATCCAAGACCAATAGCATATCCAAGACCAAGACGAAATCGAAGTCGAAGAAGCTACCCTTAAGTCCGTGTCCAAAGTGCAATGAGATGCACTGGCTCAACGAGTGCCATAATGCAACTGAAGATGAAAAAGTGGAGCTGAGGAAACGCTTGCGTGAGGCGAATGCAGCCAAGCGTACAAGGACCAAGCGCCTTGGTGAGTTTCTACCGACTCCATCTCGTGCTGTTATGGTGAATGGAGTACTGGAGATTCCGTACTGCGCTGACAGTGGCTCTGACCATACCGTGATGGGCCGCTCTCACTGGAATCAACTCCGGGCTCTGGACCCAAGTGTTCAAGCTGAAGAACTTACTGTCCCAGTTCAGAACCAGACGTTTGGGTCTATGTTGGTGACTGCCGATAAGAAGGCCAAACTCCATTTAATGATTCGCACCGCGGCTGGGCAAGTTAAACCGATGAAGGCTGTGGATGTGTTGATTGTCAATATGGATGACGACGCGTTCATACTTGGCAATGATGTACTAAGAATGCTTGGGATTGATGTGGAGCGTCAACTGGAGCAACTAGCTGACCTAAATGTGGATGAAACAAGTGGCGATCCTGTTGAACTGGAAGCCGACGAATCTCCGGTCCGACTTGGAGAACCTCAATCTGAGAATGAGGACGTATTTGCTGCAGTTGAACGGTTGGTTGAGCAAGCAGTCGAGAACGGATTCCCAGCAGACAAGCTCGATCAACTTCGTACTATCATCCATGCCTACGATGTAAGGCGTTTGACTCTGCAGGATGACCCACCAGCACGTGTTCCACCTCTGGAGATACGACTACGGGAAGGGGCTCGTCCAACAAGGTGTAAGCCTCGACGGTATCCCCCTCACATTCGCAAATTTCTTCACGATTTTAACTCTCGTTTGGTAAAACTAGGACTCGTTTACGAGAATTCGGAAAGTCGATGGGCGAGTCCCGTTCTCCCTGTCAAGAAGTCAGCGGACCTTATGGATCTTCGGCAAACCACAGACTATCGTGAGCTGAACGCATTGACTGAAGTCATGGCAGCTGTTATGCCGATTTTATCCGTGGTGATGGGGAACGCGAAGGGAATGAAACATTTCGGACTCTTTGATTTTTTAACCGGCTTTTGGCAGCTTCCGTTGGCTCTAATGTGTCAAGAATTGCTTTCATACATGACCGATGAGAAGGTCTTTACCCCTCGCAGAGTGCCTCAGGGTAGTAGTGATGCTGCGATATTCTTTCAGAAGACCATGGAGAATTGCTTTGCCAGTCTACTGTACGACCATTTACTGATTTGGATCGACGACTTACTCCTTTATGCCAAGGATATTGATGTATATTTGGACAAGTTGGAAGAAATGCTGTCACTAATGGACCACTTTGGCTTAAAGCTGAGTGCAAAGAAAACGAGCTTGTACCAGACTGAGGTCAAGTGGTGCGACAGGATCATAAGTGGTGAAGGCATCAGACATGACCCAAACCGAATTGACTCGCTACGTGCTTTGCCATACCCACGTACTGCCGGAGAGCTTCAGCAATTTGTCTGTGCGGTCAATTGGATGCGTCAAAGCATTATTGATTTTGCAAGGCAGATTGCCCCTTTACAACAAAAACTTGACGCGGCTCTCACGAAAACCAAGAGGACCAAGAGGGCGGCTGCTGGCATTAACATTGAGCTGAGCAGTGATGAACGAGTGGCATTTGACCGGATTAAGGATTCGATCGCCAAAGCTGCTACTCTCGATTTTCCTGATGACAACGCTACCACATGTCTCTTCACGGATGCCTCGAACGTTGGATACGCCGTTATTGTGACTCAAGTTGTGAACTTCGACCCTCAGAAGCCTGCTACAGAGCAACAACATCGGCTCATTCACTGCACAAGTGGAACGTTTGCCGGTAGCCAGCTAAACTGGACTGTCATCGAGAAAGAGGCATTCCCCATTATCGTTGCCTGTGATAAACTGGATTACTTGCTACTAAGGCCGAATTCCTTTCGGATGTATTGTGATCATCGTAACCTGATTCACATCTTCGCACCGGACGTTTCGATCAAGAAACATATTAAAGGGAAACCTTTACGATGGTCCATGAAGCTAATGAACTACCAGTATGTAGGGGAGCATGTACCGGGATCTGATAATGTATGGGCCGTTATAATTTCCCGCTGGGCTGGTAACCATTCGCCAACTGTGAAACGACTGAAGGTTGCTCGGGCTCGCCCAAACCAAAGGACTGAGACTGTGTCTGCTTTGCGCCCTCTGGATGATGATCGTTTTGTGTGGCCTACACTGGTGGAACTCAAGGAAATACAATCCAAGAGCTCGGCTCCTGTTTACGCTAATCGAAATGATGATGGTCTCGTGACCCTGGAGGACAAGCTGTGGATCTTATATGAAGAAAAAGAGTTACTTCAGCGGCTGTGCATCATTGCGCACTGTGGCGCTCAAGGGCACCGCGGCCAACAAGCCATGATTGCACACCTGGGACGGCTTTTCGCTATCGAGCACCTCTCCGATGTGGTCGCAAATTTCGTTAAGAAGTGTCTGCTTTGTCTGCATTCAAGAGGGGGAAAGATTATCCCACGTCCGTGGAGCGAGGTGATTGAGTGTCGTACACGTAATGGTGTTTTTCATTTTGACTTTCTTTACATGGGTGAAAGCTTTGGAGGCAGTAAATATCTTTTGGTTATGAAGGATCAGGCCACACATTACTGCGAATTGGTTGTTGCAGACTCAGCCGAAAGAAGTGTTGTGGCTGAAGCTTTACTGTATTGGCACTCACGATTCGGTGTTCCTCCTGGGTGGGTGTCTGATTGTGGAACCCATTTCAAGAACGAGATTGTCGCCGAGCTGAGTCGCGTCTCCGGTCGAGGCAGTCATTCACACTTGGATATATTTCCGGGGTTTAAGCGATCAATTGGAAACGTGGTAAACGGGAATTTTATTACAAGTGGGGGAAAACAAGGATTTTTAACCTTAACAAAATTGGTTTACAAAGACTAGGTCTACTTGGTTCCGATGGTGCAAGCCAATTTGAACCATACAGCACTCCCATCTCTTGGGAATCGAGCGCCAGTCGAGCTGTTCACTGGACTGCCACGGCCTACACCCCTCTGTGAATTTTATCTACCAGTGAAAAACAAGTTACAGCAGATTCCACAGAGCGAGCAGATAGACAACTACCTAAATCGGTTGAGAAGCAGCTTACAGAAGATGCATGAGGTGGTTGAAGACAAAAGACTGAAGCAAAGACTTTTGAGCAAGAAGCGCGAACGAGGAGAGAATCTCGGTAAACTTTCCACGTTGGAGATTACGTTCTTGCGATCCCGGAACGGATGAGAAACCGTGGAAACAAAACTCCAATGTGAATTTGGGTTGGACCGGTATCGAGTGACTCGGGGCCGGATTCCCACTCCTTTTCGCTGTAGAGCACCTGATTACAGGAGAAAGAACCATGATGTGCACCCTTCACGGTTAAAGGATGTACGCAGACGACAGCTTAAATGTCCACGGATGAGCTACTCGAACACGTAGCTGCTCAAGGAATCATCTTAGCAGTTAAGGAGCTGAAGGGCCACAAGTGGAATAATGCTACGAAGGACTTTGATATTTTTAGTAAGCTGGAAGGGCCTACAGTCGATCGAAGACTCTTACGAACCAATGCAAGTTTTGAATAAGGACATCAAGATTTTATTAAAGAGATATGTGGACACTGCTGAAGACCCTCGTCTCACGGATCACTGGAAGAAGATAGATCGTGAGGACGGCAGCACGGCGTCTACACCTCCTGATTCAGCGAAGGGCATGAAGCCTCGTGGCCGCCCTCGCGGCAGGAAGAAACGAAGTCACCCCGATGGAGAAGCCGTCCGGCGTGACAGCGACGACGCGGATGAGGTACAACCTCGAAGTGTCCAGCAAACAGTTCAGCGTACTTTGGATGAGGACAGCCAAGGGCACATCGGTGCCGAGGACCAAGATCCTCAGCTTCCTCTAGGTCGTCGAACTCAGATGCAATGATGACAGCCACCGTGGGCCAAGTTCCGCGTGTCCGCAGTCAGCAGAGATCTCGAGCACCCAGTCAGCGCCTCAAGAAACCAGTCCGGTTGTAAGCGTCAGACGCTTGCCAGCCGTTGGTCATGTGCTCTGGGTGATATCGCCACACCTTCGCAAGTCGAGCGGAGGGGTAGTGGGGAAAACCAAGCTTCGGAAGCTGTGTAGTGAATCCTAGGTATTTCACCTTGGTTTCCCTCATAGTTCAACGGAGACGACCCAAGGGCGCCTGGCAGCTTTGCCATCTTCAGGCGATGGGTCTGCGTGTCTTCCCAGTCGGGCTAGTAAGGTCCGACCCAGGTTTTATATTAGGAACCAGGCCAACTACATATCATCTTTCTTATAACTTTCCCAGCGAACTTTCTGAGGGACGCCTTAGAAAGAAGCTGATAATTGAGCTCGATCTGGTTACCATCAGACTCGAGACTCATTCTACAATTTACCCGATACAATACACTTAGCTATAAGTTCCAGCGGGGTGGCTCCCGCTTTGTCGAGTGTTGATTGGTTTTTCGCCCGGGATTTACTACACTTGGATACCACCGACATCTTCAAAGCGCTTTCCATAGGAGATCACTCTAAAGCGGAGGATGTCCTAATGAACCCCTACTGGAATACGTGGATCAGATACGTGGATGAGGTCGCACCGGACGCAGACAAAGTCGCCGTGATCTTAAAGCCGCTAACAGACCGCTTCGGAGGGATGAGGGTGCTGGAAGTCATTGCATCGAGCCCTCCCGCTCAACCCAAATCCTTGGAGGAAATACTATTCACAAAATGGCTGGGAGGTCCGAAAGTTCAGTCTATGACCGTGGAGTACGTTAGAGACCAGTTGAAACGCGTGTACCCCAACATTATCCCTCAAAATGCAAAAGGTTCTGCGGCAAGATACGCTGTCATTTACAAAAAGGAGGGGAAAACAGTAAACGATATTTTGCGCAAAATTGAAGCCGCCAAACCGAAGACTGCGGCGACGTTGTAAGCCAAAAATCGTAGGTGAAACAGCTGAACTTTAAAAAAAGCAATAGTACTTTTTACAAGCCAACCAACACCAACAAGACTGGAGAAACCACTTTTTGTCTTGATTTTTTCTTACAAAATAATTAAGTTGTCGTAAATCGTTGCTTATTTTATTTCAAAGTGTTTCACTAGGTATTGAAAGTAGCCGCTAGTAGTAATATCGGTAGTCAGCTATGTTTCTTGGTTTTAGCTCTTTATTTTCTGTTCTGGTGGGGGCTATAGGTTGGCACCGGTTTATAAAAAACTAACCAGAAGTGCACCCTCGATGGTGCTCCCAACCTTCGAAATGACAGCAGAAAGTTCATCGATTAGAGCTTCTAGCTCTTGACGTTTTCATGGTTAGAGATAATCGGGGAAAGCACACCATATAATCTTAAAGCTGTTTGAATCCTCGACTGCCCCTCCACCATATTTATTCTTTAACTTAAGAAAAAAAAGATTCTTTTAATAATAATGTCTCGATATTAGTTTAATAGCAACACTGTTGGTCCTCGATATATAACAGCCAAAGATGGACACAGCGTCTTTCATATCATCCACAGTACGTTTGCCAGCTGTAACCTTAACGTTCCCACGCAGCTCTCGCGTCATGGAAACGCTTCTCTAAGTCCGTGATCGCTGTCTTTCTGGATTTTGATCTGCTGGTTGATTGTGACGACTGGTGAGAGCACGGCGCAGAGGAACAGCGACGAGGAGCGAAGCGGAGGAGGGCGGCGAGAGTCCAACGATGGGGACTCGAAGGTAAGGCGTAGGAGGCAGTTGATGTGCCTCGAAGAAGGTAAATTGGAAAGTGAGATTGAAATGGTTAGCTGTTTGTCG